TTCTCTGCAACCCCATTAAGAACGGGTTTCTTCTTAGCTCATGAATAATTCACTTTTTTTTCTTCTGATAGATGACAAGTACCACCACAATGAAGCCTAAGCCCAGCACAAAGACCACTGTTCCAGCCAAATTTTTGCTCATAGCAGATCCAGAGCATGTTTCTGTTGGAAGAGCAGTCCAGACAGTAAAGGCCTGGGCATAGAGATTGCTTCCCCCCCAAAAACATCTCTTCCTGTTTCTTGCTGTCCCCATAGAGCTAGAAGCAGTTCTCATCAACACTTTTTCATCTCCCCATTTCCAGTCACTTACCCTGGGCCACGGTGATGGGTGCTGGCAGGCTGACATGATCCACCTGGCATGCACAGATATCCTCTTGCTTAGGCAGGACTTCCAAAATGACCAGGATCTGGAAAGACTAATCTCCCTTCAGGAGCCGATCCTCCTACACAACTTTGTCCATCTCCTCCTGCTCATTTTTGAACCACTTGATCCTTGTTTCAGAAGGATAAAACTTTGTTGCAGAACACACAGCTAGCTGGGATAGCCCCACAGGTCTGTTTCCACGGGAGAAATTTTCACTTTGCGTTTAACTGAAAAAGAGAGACATGAAGAGTTCTGGCCAATTCTCCTCAGGAATCATTCCTAGCAACAGGACCTATGGATATCATACAGATTTCTCCTTCGAACCATTTGTCAATGCATCCTTTGTTCCAGATGCGCTGCCTTCAACATGACTTCACACTACACATCTCCCAGCCACATTCACCTTTAATCCTCTTTCTTTCTTCCCTCAGTGAAGCACCATCTCAGAAGATGAACTCTACTTCTATCAGAAACATCTGTTAGGGACATTTCATGTCACCTAAACCCAGCTAGGAGTACAGAAGAACCATTATTTCTCATCATCCTTTAAACCTCCCTCCCTGCAGACACCCTGACAACCGGTGTCCTCCTTCCCTGCTCAGACTGATCTGATCCACAGAGAGCACCAGTGCTCTATGGAGAGCTTTTAGAAGGGCTCTGCTCTGCACTGAAAGAAACAAACTCTACATTCAGACACTTCCATGTCTTTGCCAACACCGGAAACATCTCCAAAACACACAGTTTACATACCAGAGAAGGAACAGTGTTAGCTCTAGCTCTGCATGGATCCATATGGACCTACTCAAACAACCTGAGATCTGGGATCATCCCTGGGGCTATGGTTCATGGTACTGATGTTGCCAAACTGCTGGCCAGTGAAGACAGCATCCAGCAGTGAAAAGAGGATGGGCAGCTCCAGGAAATGAGACCTACAACCATGAGATTATGCCATGAGATTATGCCATGAGATATGTGGTGAAGGGATTTTCACGAGCTATGTCATGAGACCTGTGGCTAAGGGATTCCTATGGGCATGATGGCTGAGGAGGTGGTAGGTTATCAGGCGGAGGCTGCACGACATTCACTGCACGACATTCATAGCTGCTATTAGCCAGGTGAAAGAGGGACTGATGCTACAGTGTCAGGGTTCTGTTCCACCCTTGCACAAGACTCGCAGCCTTTGTAATCTCTCTGTTACTGTTGATATCCCTCATTTACATATAAAATGGCTGCCCCACCACCAGTTACTATGGCAGTAACAAAATTTATCTCACCTCCACTTCTCCCAAAAGTATAGACTGGCACTGGAAATCCTCCATGGTAGAGGATCAGAGTATAACCGCCTCACAGACAAGTTGACGGGCTTGCTTCTCTCCCCTCCCCAAAGCAGAGTCGTGCCTTTTGTAAGACCAGCTGCATCAAAGTACACCCAGGAACACTTGTACATAGCAATGTTGCTCCAACAAACTGCTCTATGGGTGAATCTGTGTCTGTGAAAGTTCTTATTGAACTCAATCAGACTTAGAGTGTTGAAACGGTAAAACACGCTATTGGTGAATCCGTGATCGCAAACGAGACCAGACTAACAGTGTGACCCACACTATTGGAGCATCTAGGAATGTGACGAGACTTACTGGCCGAACTGGTGAAAATCAGAAATCAAGCTCAGCTGCACCCAGCCCCTCCGACCTCTAAGGACCAGCTGGAAAGCAGGGGGTTTATATTCTGACAAAGTTCTATACTCTTAACGCAACATCAGCTCTGTTGAGTACAAACTGGTGTTTCCTGGAGAGCTCTGGGAACACAGTAATCCCCGTCCATCTCCCTGCCATCTTAAAAAAACATGCTGGAGATTGTATCTCCCAGCACACGAACACTGTCCTGCAGTCCAGGAGCCTGGAAGAACTCACAACAAAGTGAGTAAGTTTCAACAGCATTGGCCCCAAGAATGGGGAAATGGGAGGAAATGGCGAAATGCTCAGGAAAAGGGAGCATGGAGCAGACCAGGGTGTATGGAGCAGCAGCTGATGCACAGCTGAGCTCCTAGGGCATAAAGCCCATCTGAGAGACCGTCAGCTTTGCACTCTGCTAGTGCTTCATTTTCATTTTCTTTTGGGGATTGATGGACCAGATTCTTGCCCTCTCCAGGGCATTCAGCTGGATGGGAAAAGTTCAAATCCAGACCAAAAAAATCTGAGGCCAGACTTTCCTGTGTTATGCCCTTCCCTTCAAATACTCACAAGCTGGCCCTGGAGCAGATGGATCTGAGGGGAAGGACCTTATCTCTTTCCTGGTGTCTTTAGACGCTGTCATTGGTGTTACCCTCAATTCTTCCCTAAATTAATTGTTTATCTTGCCTGGAGAAGGTTTTATGAGTCAAATAATGCCAGAAAAAAGTATTCTGGACAGTAAGACAGAACACGAGGCAAACCTACAGCTCAGAACAGTAATAAATGCACCATCTGTGGCCAGGCACAGAGAACACATAACATGCGCTGAACAGTCATTACATACAAGCTTAATTCTCACATTAAGCCAGGAGTTCCCTGAACGATAGAGCCCTAATTTCCTACCAGTTTACATCCTGTATCTCTGCCTGACACTGCAGTACCAGTTCCTTCCTGCACTGTGATTCTCTAAGAAACCACATTAGTGTACCAACACACAGCAAAGCTCAATGCTGACCCTTACAGGAGGGGATGGTGATTCGCATTCAAACTAATTTTGCTTACTCAGGTGTACCAAGATATGAGTATCCCTGTGTTTCCATCCACCACTGAGGCAGTAACCTGTGTGTGTCCAGGCAGTCTGCATGATTCCATGCAGTGGCACAGAGGACAGATATTGGACAAGCTGTCCTTGTTGGCTGAGGATGTGCTTCTATCCCTCCCTCTACCTACTCTCCCTGCACCCCTCCCTGAGGCCTCCTATCCTTCCTCTCAATGTCTTTCTCATCCACCTGATTATGTCCGTGCCCCTGCTCTGCAGCTCTAATTCCTCAGGATGGCCTTTCCAGGCCCTCGGAGCTCAGGTCAAGACTGAGAGCCACGGGTGGGGACACTGGCTTACTGGGAGCAAAGGCAGAGGTGAAGGAAGGTCCTGGCAAGCAGCACAAGGGACTTTGAGGACAAGACTTTGATGCACAGATAAAAAGCATCACAGGGAAAAGTCAAAACCAAACATCTGCAAAGCTTTCCTCTCTCTTTTCCATGAGCCCAGCTTGTTTCTTTTAAATGAAGTCTCCGGCTAGCAACTCTTTCCTTACCTGAGACATTGCAGTGAGGCAGGGATTCATCTTCCTACAAGCAGTGTCACAACCAAAGCTGCCTCCCAGCACCTCCTGGCCCTGGGGCATCTCATTGCTGCTGTCTCTTGTTTAACCCACAGTGCTCCAAATATCAGCGGACAGGAATGAGGTAACTTCTGACCACAAGCACAGCAGAAATATTCAGCTGCTGCCTTCCATGACTATGTTTCTTCAAGCCCCATCCAACCTGGCTTTGGACACTTCCAGGGATGGGGAAGTTATGCCAGTGTCTCACCACTCTTACAGGGAAGAATTTCTTCCTTATGTGCAATCTAAATCTACACTCTTACATTTTAAAGCCATTGTCCCTCATCTTGGCATTAGTAAGGGACTCTCTCCATCTTATAAACCCCCTTTAACTATGGAAGGGCTGCAATAAGGTCTCCCTGGAGCCTTTTCTTCTCCATGGTGAACAATCCCAACTCTCTCAGCCTGTATCCATAGCAGAGGTGCTCCAGCCCTCTGAGGCTCTTTGTGGCCCTTCTCTAGACTTGCTCCAACAGGTCCATGTCTCTCATGCAGCTCTCTAGGTGGGGTCTCACCAGAGCAGAGGGCCCTCGACCTGCGGGCCACGCTGCTTTTGATGCAATCCAGGTTACAGTTGGCTTTCCGGGCTGGAAGTGCACATTGCCACGTCACGTTCAGTTTTTAGCCCACCGGTATTCCCAAGTCATTCTCTGCAGGGCTGAAGACTCGCCCTGGCGACTGCTCCTCACCTGCTACTCAGGGGACCTGCATAGGCAGAGGGGCATAAGCCTAAAAAAGGGACAGGAGGAAGATCTGATTCCTCAGCGAGGCTTGCAGAGCAGAGCCGAGCCCTGCCTCCTTCATCAGGACAAGCACCGAGGGCTCACGCTGCCTGAGAGGAGCCCAGGAGGGGAAGAGAGCGGCTCATGGTCTAGACCGTGCTGCCGGCGAGGAGGTCCCAGAGAGTAGCAGGACCCCTCATCCCTGCCACGGAGATCCCTTGTCTCCCAACACGGGATCCATCCCGCGGCCAGCACGGAATCCCTGCCCCCCGTGACTCGCTTGGCGCCGAGATCCCAAGCCAGGAACTACATTTCCCAGAGGCGCTTGCGCCTGGGCGGCGGAAGAGGCGGGCTGGGTGCGCTCTCCCGTTCCGATTGGCTCGCTGGGGGCAGTCCGAGCGGCCATTGGGTGGGCGGGGCGGTCACGTGAGATGGTGGGCGGTGCGCCGGCTCACGTGGGCCCGTGCGGGAGTGGGAGCAGGAGCAGAACCGGGAGCGGGACGGGGAGCGGGACCGGGAGCGGGACCGGGAGCGGGCTCAGGCCAGGGATTCAGGGGGAGCGGGCCCGCCAGGCCTCGCCATGCTGGGGGCCCGGGCCCGGGCCTGGGGCGGATGGCGGGTCCTCCGGCGCTGCGTCTCTCTGCCGCGGGCGGTGCGGCTGCGTGTACGCGAAGCGCTGGGGGCGCGGGAGCCGGCGGACGCGGTCAGAGTGCAGGTGTGTGTCCCGGTGTGCCTGGATATGTCCCGGTCCAGAGCCTGAGCGGAGGGAAGAGGGCCTGTAGTGGTACCTCAGAGAGGAAGAGCTGGGAGCTCTGCAGGGCGTTTTGCTGAGCTCCCGGATCGCCTTCGCGGTGTGCGGGGCCTCGCTGTGCGATCTTTCGGTTTGTGTACTCAGTTTGCTGTTGTCAAAGCTTTGTAGTTACTTGGCAGGGGCAGGGAAAAGTGGTCTCTGGGATGAGTTGTACCGAAAAGTATTCTCTACAGTATTGGCTTTATCGCCTGTTCCATTTGGGAGAGCAAACCATTGTACTGTTGTTTTCAAAGTTTTTTTTCTGTGTCTTGTACCACATCTTTGTACCACATACCTGTAGGTTTATAGCAATGTAAGTAGAATCATCGATAGCTTTCACTGCTGGTCGTGTCTGGCTCCTGTTGTGAACCAAGGTAGACTGGGATAAATGGACTTCTTAGCAAGGGAGCTCTTCCCCTTGACATAGGGTTGTGTGTTCCCCAGATTTCTGGTGTTCCCAGCTGGCAGAGCAGTGGTTGCACACATACTGGCCCTGTTTTGGTGCAAGGCCTGTGTAGTTGCCAGTATTTCTGAATGAATCTGAAGAGGACTGGGGTACTTGGTAACAGTTTTAAACAAAACTAAAAGAGAGTAGATTTAGATTTATGAGAAAGAAGATCTATACCTTGAGGGTGATGAGGCACTGGCACAGGTTGCCCAGAGAATATGTGGGTGCCCCATCCCTGGAAGTGTCCAAGGCCAGGTTGGATGGGGCTTGGAGCAACACAGTCTTATGGAGGGTGTCCCTGCTCATGGCAGGGGGCTTGGAACTAGATGATCTTTAAGGTCTCTTCCTACCCAAGCCTTTCTGTGATTCTGCTAACCCAAAAACCCGTTTGTAGCACACTGGTATTCCTACACACGCATAGATGAAGCTTAATAGGGTAGGAAGAAGCTCATCCAGTGTAGGTTCTTTTCAGCTGTAGTTTTATGAATAATGCAAGCTGGAATAAATTGATGCTAAAATTGGCAATACTGCCTTTTCCCCACCTTCCCTGTCCCCCAGGCCCTTGCTTCTTTTTTGCTCTTCCCCTGTGCTGGCAAAATGTGGAGGTTTTTTGTATTAAACTGGGTTAGGGAACTGGTCTGGCTTAAATCCAACCTCATTATGGCCAGGTTGTTGGAATGTGCAGTCTGGTCTGAGTCAGGATTGTCACTTTTACTGCATGTTGATTCTGGTAATGTATGAAGTGGTCAAAACTTTTGTGCCACAACCTCTGCTGCTCCAATGCAAGCCTGTGGGTATGTTCTTATTTCCTATTGCAGGTTGCAAGACTCCTCTTCTTATTTAACAAAACCCAGAACAGCCTGATTAAGTGGGGAAAAAAAGCTCTTGAGAATGTTTCTTTGTTCAAGGGTTTTGTGTGTTTTGTTAAGAAGCACTTATGAGGAAGGAAACTAAGAAAAACATCTGCCATTATACATTAAACATGCATCAACTGTAATGAACATGGTGCGTTCTGGGGATTTACTGGAATACAGAGGATAAGCACAAGAGCTTCAGGCGTGTTATTGTATGGAATACCTTTTAAACACTTGTTGCTTTAGCCATACAAATATAGCCCAGGTGATCTTGTTTCTGGCATTAGTTCTTTTGAGTGGAACACTCTGCAGAGGTGGTTTACCCTGTCTGAATCACTAGGTTCATGGCTTTAAAATCTTCATAGTTCTTATATGCCTTATGTGTCCTCTACCTGTTCTACAAGCCTATGTAATGCTTTGCCTGTATTAGTAGTCATGTTGTAGTTTTAAGAATGCTTTACTTCTGGTGCTGTTTAGTTCTTGAAGTTTGCTCTGTCTAGACAACAGAAGTAGATGGATTCACATTGGTTTAAAGTCATTGGGACTACCTGGGACCTTCCAGATAAGCAAAAGACAAAACTGGTTGGAAAAGAGGCAGTTTGGTTGTTTAATCAGCACTGTTTTCGGTTGTTCTCTACAGTACTGCTATAAGATGAGCTGCAAGGTCCCCAGCAGGTAGCTATGCTTTTAAGGGCAGCTTTGTCTCAACCCTTGCAATTTGGGGAGCAACTAAGGGAGTTATTTTGGATGCTCTTACTATTGCTTGGTGCCCTAGTACTGACTTAGTGTTTCCCTTAAAAAGAAATTAAAATTTATCTCTCATTAAAAAACTCAAATTAAGACATTAGCCTGAGATGTACATGGCTAGTTCTACTGTTTTGCTGTTACAGAGAACTTTTGTATTATTATTTTAATTCTTTCAGAGAAACTGGACAAGATGCTTCTAAATTTTTTCTTAATATTTTTTTTTTCATGGGGACAGTGTAGCAGTCTTGATTTTGAGATATAAGGAGAAACATCCAAGGCATTAATTTTTATTTTTGTTTTGCATTCTGTAGTCTTTCATATGAATCTATTGGCTGCATCATTGTTTTAGCAGTCCAGCAGTTTAGGACATGTAAACAACTAGTGAATATATTTCAGTTGGAACTTTTCTACAGGTGATACAGCAACAAAATTTGATAATAAAATGCATCAAAACAGTCTTGAATGTGTTATCGTGAAGAAGTGTTCATTACCAGTCTCTCCTTTTTCAGTAAGAAGTGTTTGGAAGGGACACCACTAATAAGAATATGTACTTCACTAAAATGCCCTTCATCTTCAGAACGCCTTCCTGCTTTCTGTATTCTCAGCTCCCCAAAGATGCAGGTGCATCTTAGTTATTCCTTTCCATACTCAGGAGGCTGTCTCTGCCTAAGGATTTTTTTTCTCTCTGCTTTGAAGTCAGAAGAAAAACTGACACTGACTTTTTTTACCCTTTTTTATTTATTTTTTTTGTCCCTAAAGAGACACTGATTTCAATAAGAAGCTAAAATAGGCTTGAAGTGGCATGTCTGTCTTAGCTGGAAGAAGAACATGACTACACTGTGTCCGTGCCAAAAAATAACAAATCTCTTTTACCTCTAGGGCTGGGTCCATTCTGTCCGATCCCAGAAGGAAGTTTTGTTCCTGCACATAAACGATGGAAGTTCTCTGGAACACCTCCAGGTGGTTGCTAATCCCAGCTTGGAAAATAGGTTGGTCCATTTGAAATAACTGAAGAAATACATTTTGAGCGGTGCCTGGAAGGGTGTGCTCGGGCCTCCTTTCCTGTGCCCAGGACTCGCCACCAGCTGGCACCTGACCACAGGAAAGGCACTGCTGCAGTTTGGGGTCTCTGGATGTATTTTTAGAATGGAGAGTGTCATACTACTCTGTCTCCTCTTAGCTGAGGCCTTGTGGTTCAGTTGATTAATCCTGTGAGATTAATTTGGGCCTAATTTTCTTAATAGTGTAGACGTTCTTGACTCCTGTTGGAATTGCTTGGAAATCACACAAGGTAGCCGGGGATAACTGTCTCCCGGGTTTTGGAGGGTGCTGTTGATCTTCCTATAATAACTTTTCAAGGCAGGCTTGGTAGGCATGCTCCCTGGATAGGCATGTCTGATCTAGTATAATAAAATAATATACTTGTTTTACAGCTTAATTTTGTTTGTAACTCTCAGTTGTTCATTGGACTAGGGTTGGGAGTTTTGGGAAGATCCAGGAACCTTCTGTGTGTAACTTAATATATTAAAAATTTTTTCAATTTTTCTTCTATAGGCCTGGTTTATCTCCACCAAGAGCCCCTTCAGATAAAAGCCTGCCTCTTTTCCCCTTACTTGTCCAACACTCCTACCTTGTCCTAAATTCTTTTATATTGTTGTGAATCTATTCACATTCCCACCTATACATTTAATAATTTTTCATTTCATCAGGTAAGCTGTATGGCTACAGCATCCCTTGTGATCTCAAGTGATCCAGCTAAATTAACAGGAATCTCTCTTCTGAATGTAGTTGAATTTCTATCACTTAGTTAAGCTGTTGTTTTCTCTCTGTTTCTTAGAGAGCTGACTTTTGGAAGTGCAGTGGAAGTGCAAGGGAAGCTGGTCAAAAGTCCTCATAGGAAGCAAAATATGGAGCTGCAAGCTGAAACCATCCGTGTGGTGGGACCTTGTGATATTTGGGTATGTTGCTGCAGCAGGAGTGGTAGGACTGCTGGAAATAAATTTTTAAAGGTCCAAGCATCCAGTAAAGCATGCTTCAAACTGTATTTTCTGTAAGTCTGAGTCGTCCTGCAGGCTTTGATTTGTCAGTGGTGTCTATAGGGTACATCAAAGGAGGAACTTGGGACCACCATGAGAGCTCTTCTCTGGGGCACAGCTGTTTCTTCGTGGAAATGGGTGCACATGCTGGCACCTAAGAGTTTGCATTTGTCCCACCCTGAAGCACTTACGTGTACCAGGTGGTGTACCTGGTAAGTCTGGCCGGGATATGAATTGGAGAAACAGTGGGACTGGCAAGATGCTCCAGGTTGTGCAGGTGGAATAACTGTATCTGCCATAGGCACAGGTTGCTGTTGCAGCAGTGAGGTGAACAGCTGGATTTCAGGGGGGCTCAACATCCAAAAGTGGAACATTTCAGGGTGCTCATACCTTCTCTTGTGTTCATGGCTCTTGCTCTGCCATAAGCATTATAAAATCCACAAAATAACCAGAAAAGGTAGGCAAAAGCATCAAGTTATTCTCTGCTCTGTTAATGATGATTGAGTTTTAGTAGGCAGAGATGCCACTCCCTGAATAGCAATAAAACTGTATTGACTCCCAAATTCTTATCCTCTTATTTTTGTTTCCTTGTTGTTTTCAGTCGTTTCCCCTGAAAATGAAGGAGAGGCACCCGCTGGAGTATGTCCGACAGTTCCCTCACCTGCGATGCAGGAACAACACACTGGGTTCCCTCTTGAGAATCCGCAGTGAAGCCACTGCAGCCATCCACTCCTTCTTCCAGGTAGTCCCTTCTGTACTGAGCCTTCTGTGTAAAATGCTCCCCCAGGTTGGCTTCACAGGTGTAGGTTAGGAGGGAAAGAGTGTGACATCTTGACTACAGGGTATGGATTTTGGACATGGTGGTTTTCTTTCCAGGCCTGAGCCTGGCTGGGCCTTGGTAGTTGCTTATGATCAGGTTAGCACATCTGTGACCTTGTCAGTGTCTTTTCGCCCGTTTCCTGTTATTTTATCCCTTTTTCTAAGTTACAGTGTAGTTGCCTGCAATTGTGTGGTCTGTGGAACACAAGATGATATGGAGTTGTTTAACAACCCATCTTCAGCAGTGACCTTACAGTCCTTGGACAGAAGCCTCCTTCCACATGGAAAAATCTGTGATAAAGGAACACAGACAAACTGACTCAGAGCTTCTTTTTATTCTCAGTTCTTTCTATTTCTGCAATACAAGTCTGTGTGAGTGCTGTTAGCTGAGATTAAGAGACTCCTGTTTTATGCATTTCAAACTGATGAGTGGGAGCCACGTGAGTTTTCTGAATGTGTCACACTTAAACTGAGGGCATGGTACAGGCTTTGTGCAGACAGGGCAGGCAGTGAATTAACTCTGATGCCAGATGTCATAACAGAGACCGTGTGATTCCTTGTGTGAGTAAATAAAGGTAGCAAGTCCTCTAGCACACCTGAGCCATTCATTGAAATAAACATTAATTGTTCATTGAAATAAACGTTTTAGTTTAGATAAACTGTCTTTAGTTTGAAGAGAATCATATTCAGAGCATTCTGGTTACAAAGTTCACAAGTAGTAATTAGTGTGGCCCAAGGAACAGGGTAGAATTGTTGAGATTGAATTTCTGGTCCCAAGTGTGCTGGTCTTTGTCACGTGCAGTGGCAAAGAAGGCTTGCTTGCTCTAGGAGTTATCTGTTTGGAATTGCATGGTATTTGGACGACTTTTGTGGGGTTTGGTTTGGTTTTTTTAAAAACCTAATAGAAGTCTCATGTCAGGTAAAGCTGCTGGTTTCGGGATTGTGCCTGCTGCTAAGGCAGAAGCCAACTCTTGGCAATCAGTCTATGCTGGTGTCGAGCCACTAGATGGCAATGCCTACAACGGTTTGTGCTTCCAAACCTGGACACAGAAGGCAGCTGAGGTACAGAAAACATCTTATTCGAGCTTTGTTTTTCCAAATCAACTCCTGCTTAGGCTATGCCATACCTTCCTGTTTAAAATGCTCAAGAGCAGACCTGTATTAAAAATTAGAATCAAAAATTATGATCAATTTAGCAGCGGCAGCTACACTAAAATTATTTTTAAAAGGATAAAGAATATTTGGTCCCAGACTGGATATTTTGCAAATGCTTATGTCAGAACTCTCCTAGCACCAGAAATGTTTGTGTTTGCTTTATTTCTGATGGAAGGAATGGAAGGAAGTCTTCTAAAATTGTCACCTGCATCATCCCAAGAATATTGCAATTTCCAACTTGTCAATATCAGAATATACCATAGCTAGAAAGTACAATAGGAGTATTTTCACTTTGCAAAGCTGTAAGGAGCTTAATGGTGGAAGAAAATAAGTGGACCATTTTGAATACACACTCAAGACTCTCTCTAAATTTAAAAACTTCTTTTTTTTAGCCTATTCATTTCCAGGAATGAATGTCTAATGTCAGGTGCCTTTGATTTGGATGTTGAAAGCTAAAATGTCATCTTTAAATCTTCTGAATACTGTGGTCCATGTGGCATAGGAACGTTGTTCCTAGGCACGGTAAGATAGTTGCAATGTGAATGGCAACTTCCACTTTGCACATTAACTTCCATGTTTGTATGAGCCAGTAATGTGGCCTGAAGTATTTTAGAAGCTTTTGTAAGGGGAACTGTCCAAGAGGTTTATGTGATTCTCTCATTTCAGATCTGTGCGGTTTGCATTCCTTTCCAAGGCATATAGGGGGTCTTCTGTGTGAAATGTGCTTCCTTACAGCAACTGCTACCACTGTATGAGGAATTTAGGCAGATTTCCAAAATCTCATGTAGAGTCAGGAGGCCACGTGACCAGCAGGTCTCTGAATATGCAGGGAACTGTCAGAGACCTGGATTTTGTATTGGTAGACTGGACTACCTTCTCCAAGTAAAGCAAGTAGTTCTGGCCCCAGAACTTCCTTCTGTGCAGTAACTGCATCTCAATGAGGAGCTCCTGCCAGGCACTTGGTAAGCCAAAGTCATTGCACCTGTAACCGAAGTAGCCTAGAGGTGACTGCAGGGACTTTGCGCCCACTTGGTTATTGTACTTCCACAAAATGCATTGCATGTCCATACGAACTCTTTGGTCCAAATTAATTTTAGTTTGATTCTCAGAGTGGGCAGAAAATACTGTTCCAGCCTTCCTAGCCTTTTAACTAGCTGGTGATAAGGACCAGGACCTCTCATGTGACTGGTTGATTTGTATTATTCTGTTAAAACTGTGAAGATAAGCTTTTAGAAACATTTGTTTTCTTAACTATTTTTATGAGTATTTTGTGTAAATAGACAGTAGGTTCTGTTACATCATTGCCTGTATCATGGTAATGCTGGCACACCCTGATATTAAAGGCGTTCCCTTTGTGCTAGATATTGCAGTGATGCAAGAGAAAACAAATCCTTTATTCACAGCTGAAATTAGATAGTTTCAAGTTCTTTTTGCTTGGACACAGATAGGTATGATTTCAGTGTTCCATCAGTGACCTCCATGGTGAGACTAAGTTAGAAAGGTGATGATTAATAGAGTTCGGTTCCTAGTTTTACCTCTATGCAAAATGCACATGCTGCATGTGCTTGTCTGAGGTCTGCTTGATATATCCATCCACTGAATATTGGGTTGCAGCTGTTTTCAAAGCCTGTGGCTGCACTGCAGAGAAATCTAGAGGAGTTCCTTCTTTATTCAACCTTTCTGGTTTTGGAGGCCTCTGCTGTATCTATGAACTATTACGTGAATGTGTAATTCTGTAGGTACCTGGAACATAACCAAGCCAGGGTATATACCCTGTCTCTGAGAATCAGTTTGACTTCAGTATCTCAGAAGATGCAAGGTGGGACTGACATTTTAATGGTGGTTGTGTGTTTTTAAGGTGTCTCTCCCACCCAGTGTGTAATTTTTATCATCCAACACACTTGATCACTTCTCTTAGTGGAATGTCTTCTGCCTAACCACTGTCTTCCAAAAAGCTGGAAGAAACCAAGTGTTGATGGCATAGGGGTGAATTTGATTGAAACTGCCCAAAAATATAAAAAAACTGGGGGAGGTGATAAGAAAGGGGAATGCTGTGGAGATGGGCTATTGCAAAAGAACCATAGTAATGACACAACTCTCGTTTGGTTATGGAACCTGGAGGAAAATGCACAGGTAGTAAACATTGATTTGAAAATCATGCTAGCATTTAGTCATCTGTCCATGTAAGGCAGAAGCTGCTTCAAAGACTACATGTATTGTCCTGGTTGGGGGCTAATAGCTAAGTTATGATGTGTGCTGGCTGATGTCATCCTTGAGGTTGACGTTTGATATCTTTAGGTAGTTAACTTTAGTGTTCTGTCTCTTCCAGGATAATGGCTACGTGCATATTCATACTCCCATAATTACATCCAATGACTGTGAAGGTGCTGGGGAACTCTTTCAAATTGAGGTAAGTTGGGTTGCATAAAGATTGTGATTTTTTTTTTTTTGGTTGCAAATCAATTCATGAGTTATTGAAGATTAGAGGTAATGTTTATCTTTACAAATCCTTTCCTTTTATGTACTTCTGTGATTGGTTTTTTTAATATAGCAATCCTTAGCTTCAACTAATAATTTAGACAGAGTTAAACAGATGCTTTTTTTATTTTATTGCTGTTTTGTGCATTAATCAGTACCTTTTCTACTGATGAGGTTTTTCTATCCCTGGTGCTGTGAAAAAGTTTGCAAAGAACAACAGAGGGAGGTGGGACATCTTAGTAAACAGAATGATGTGCTCATAAGAGCCCAAGAAATGGAATGGGTCACTCAGGACAGACATCCTACAGTCAAATACTTCTTAGCTTTGGAACAAAGAATATAATCCACCATGAGATAATCCTTAAAAAAAAGTCAGCAATACCTAAAACTCCTTTTCACCTGTGTATATACAGGTTCCTCCCTACAAGCTACTCCTGTTCCATGTTAGAATTCTCTCCCAAAGTTGTCAAGCCGCCCCATCCACCAAAGTATTGCCACAATCTGTCATTATATGAAGCACGCCACATTATGGGTCAGAAACTCCAATGAAACTGAAACACAGCCATAACCACTAAGATCTTTCCCACAGATTTCTCATGATTCCTAACCCCCCACATCCATGAATCATAAGGAATTCCATCTGCCTTTTATACTTCTATATTTGAAATTCACTCCTCTGTCTCAAACAATGGCATCCATTGCCACTTATGCTTATTGGCTCCAACTTTGCTGGTGAATCATCTGTAAGCAAAGGAAAAATTGTTGAGGTAGCAGTCGCTTGCTGCGGGATCCTGTCTTCCACTCTCTGCACAGCCTCATGACAAAAAGCTTCTGTCTACTGGTTCTTCAGGATCTTAAGGTCTAACCTGTGCTACTGGTGATTCCCTTCCAGACCAGTACATGTGGCTCACCTTTTTGCTTGCTGGGACAATAGAGTTGATTAGCTAAACTAAATTGTTCCTCTTTAATTGAGATCCCTTGATGCTACCAAAGGTTCATTCCAGGCTGTTGCATGCAAATTGAGATGTGAAAACAAGTGACACTTAATGATGAAAACATTATGCAGTTTGCAGCTGTACTGTGTATTACGTCTTTGGTACAAATTGTATCCACTTGAAAGCTGTAGAGGATGCAGGACTACAGTGTAGGTGGCTGGTAGTAACAGAAGCCCTGATGTTGAATGTTGAATGAGGTGCTAAATTGTAAGTCTGAAACTTGTATAAACTCGATCTTATCTAAATGCATAGTTCAAGGCAAATATTTTGCTCTCTCTCCAGTGGTATTGCTAAGGTGCAAATAATACTTGCAGTAATGTAGCTACAGCTGTGCTTGAAAGGTGTGGAAGAAGTGCCAAGTCAGATCCCATTAAATGGCTTGTGCCACAAAGGAAGAGCTTCAGAAACCCACTTGCTGATGGGAAGAGAGAAATTCTCCCTGATTTCATGTTTCTTCTTTGGGTACCACTTCATTGTCTGTCCTGATTTAGGACTTAGTTTTGTTTCTGCCCAGCCCTGTTCAGAATTGGTCTTGGCTAGTGGAGATCCAAGACCACCTCCTATCCTGCTGGGACTACTTCACTCCACTGGAGCAGTGACACTGTTTTTTGACAGTGAAAACGTGGGGAAGATTAAGATTGGGCCGTACATGTGAGGCTGTCAGACACAAGAAATCGGTGACAGTAGGGTGTCAGGCATAATAATAAGGGTGTGGTATTTGCAGCAAAGCCCAAAATCTTTATATGCTTTTAACCAAACCAACTATCGAGATATTCCCTGTCTGCTGTATTTGGTCACTTTTTAAACTAGCCTTTAATTCACTGCTTGCACAGGCAAAGGGAGAAAATAAATTCCTGTTCCTCTTATATTTGAGCAGAAGATAAAAATGATGGTGATGGGAATCCACCTGCAAATTAGATTCTTCAATTCAAAAAATATTTAAATCCTGTTTCTTAAGTTTTAAGACCTATCTTCTGGTTGTGACCAGAAAATAAATTGGTGTCCTATTGCTCCTGAATTTGTAGTAGTTACAATACACCTGCTCAGGGTTGGGTTTTTTCTGCCTTTTGAGGTTGTTTTTTTAGCTCCTTGGGGCAGTGTATAAAACTGATGATCTAATCAGTTTAGCTGACCTGCTGCGGGTGGAATAAGTTGAAAACTTTAGTTGAGTAGCCTTTAGGACCCAAGTAGAGGCTGCTTTTACACCCACTGTGAACCATTGCATTCAAATAGCTGTCTTCTCTGACTGGCACAATCTTAGTCCTCTGACTAATGACTGATGGTTGCTCAGGCCTATGCATTCTTTGGAAATGAAGGAAAGTGGAGAGAGTAGGAATGTGTTTTTATGTGTGACTTGAAGAGATGGGGAAAAATGTATCTTGAGCTAGAAGGAAAAGGCTTTGTGAAATATGGTCTTTGATTTCTGGTCCTCTTAATCCTGTAGGATTTGTGTTTGTTTATATGTTCAGCTTCCTCATTATCTTTGTTTGGTTTTGAGTATGCTGATTAGTCTGTAGCTTTGGCTGGGAGGTTCTCATACTAAGACTTTGGGGGGGGTGGAATCCATTCCCTCTCTACTGGGAAAATCAGTTCAACTAAATATTTTTAAAATGAAGTACCATAATGGTGAAAAGAGGGCAGTAGGCAGAGGACATTTAAAAAAAATAAATATATCCCAAGATGGTAACAACTGCAGAGAAATCTTTTGCAGCTGAGAGTTTCTACACATGAAAAATGTAGGTTTGAGGAGAAACTGTCAGAAGTGTGAAAACAGCTAGGCAGACCCTAACCCACATGGAGAACATCAGCAGCACCAGCTTGTGGATTTCTGCACTGTTGACAATGTCTGCCTTTGGTGAAAGCCTGTAGAGGAGGAAGCATCTTGTTTGTGCTGCCTTTTTTAAAGTAAGTTTATTGAAAACACTAGGAGAGCTTTGAATATTGAAAGCTCGGTTTTAGTATAATCCAAAGCAGGACAAGGTAATTCTTGAAATAGGGAAAATGCAGATCAGTAGGGTGAGACAGCCCTTATTTTATTTGATTTTAAACTGAAAATAATTTCTCTGTACCAGCAGTTTCAGCACCTCAGCACAGATTCTTTTCTTGCTTTTTTCCTTTTTCTTTTTTCTTCCAAAGTCTGAAATTCTTAGCAGCTTTGTATGTTGCAAGAAACTTTACCTAGTCCCCTTCTGGGGCTGTGTCCGGGGAAATCTGCCTTTCTTTTGTCCTTGTGACCCAGCTGCATGTCTATTCCCTGCTATTTTCAGTAGCCTCCCCCTCTGTCTGCAGTGTCTAAGGCTCTCTGGGTCTCTTGCTCTCTCCTTTCCACATTGCTCCTTGGAAAATTTTCTTTGTATGGCCGTCCTCAGCTGCTGGGGAGAAGTTGGAGGCTTCTCTATGCTCTGTAAGAGTCTGTCTGACCCAGGACAATCCAGCTGGTATGATGAGGGTCTCAACAACCACTTTCCCTGTTGCCCAGCTTCAGCCTTTTAAGAGAACTCAGCATGCAGTGCTTTACAAAGCACAACAGCTGTGTTGGCATTCACGGCTCTTTAAAGTAGATCTCACATGTGGGTTTTGCTGCCTGTGGCCTTATTCCTTCCTGGGGACCTTGCTCTGCGTGTGAGGAGTGTTTCACTCTACCTTTAGGATTCAGCAGAGATAATGTGTGCTCTGTATGAGGCTTGTCTCTTCCCACACATACCTGATTGCACCTGGATAAATCTGAACCTGGATGATTGCACCTTGACTGAACCCAGAGTCTGGATCAGGTCATTTTGTTATCTGAAAGGATACTTAACTGTAAATCTGAAGAACCATCCAGGTACAGTTCTTTAAAATGCATCTGGAGATTGTATGGTGTTTAGCTTTGGGTTTTTTTTCACAGGAGTGAATGTCAAAGCTTCTAGATTCCTGAAGGTTCCAGTTCATGGCTGTGCCTACTGTGGCACTGGAAATGTTTGCCTGCTGCTGAAGATGCAGAAACTTATTCCTACCATCCCACTGGTGCTACTAAAAGATAGCCTGGTCAGCACCAAAGAAGGCTGGGATCTGCTGGGGAGAATCACAGTTAAATGCAACACTATTAGTGTCTGTCAGGTGTTTTCCCTTTTAGAAATGTGTCAGTCTGTGAGGCAGCCAGTCCCTGGGAAACTGGGGCTTCAGAGACTGTGCTCAGCAGGGATCAGGGTAACCTGGAACTGAGCTGAGGGAGGGCTTGCTTTTTCATTTTCTAGCTTTCCCATTTTTTGCTCATTTCTATCTGGTTAACTCTCTGCCTGTAATTCCAGAGGGAATTCTATCTCAGGCTGGTTCTGTCTCAGCAAAACTAGCTGCTCAGTGCAAGTCCAGCTGATCAGAATTACGACTAGAATTGTAAGGAGGACTTCTTGGAAGTTAGGAATTGTCTAAGGGTTAGGGGTTGTCTAAAAAGGGAAATCCAATCATCTTTATAATGGAGTGCCACAGAGGGCAAATCTAGATTAAAGATGTGGTGCTGTAAAGCTTCAGCAGCGTGGTGGTGTAGGCCTGGGCTAGAGCTACAGCAGTGATTTCTCTGAGCTTTTAGAGTCTTCTGTGATCCCTTTATGCATTTGACTTGCACAGAGTGAAAGACAGAATCAAACCGTTTGTACTCTCCTGAAGCTAATCGCCTCAAGTAGAAGTTAATACAAGACTGACATCAAAGGGAATAATTTTAAATTAAATCATTAGACATTTGAGGAGATGGAGAACAAAACAGGTACTAAATCCAGTTGTTCTTGTATTTAGAATGAGAATAAAAAGCCTTTGAAGTTGACGTCAAATACTAATATGCTTGTAGCGCATTTATTCTGAGACACCAAGGTGTTTCGTACAAGAATTCCCCCTCCCTCTTTCCCCATTGTAATTTGGGTAGTTTTTGACTAGGGAATGGAGAATTATGGGTATGCTTTCAAGCTCTCCCCTCCTAATCTGTTATCAAGTCAGTATTTTGGGGTTAGGAAGAGGGAGAAGAGTCCATCTAGTTGAAATAAAGGCACCACAAAAGTTGTTGGTTTATTTTGCTAGTAATGGACATGAAAACCAATCTTACCCAGTGTCAGCAGTGAAGGCATAGTGTCACCTACTATTTATTATTTGTCTTGTTCCAGTGACTGTGGTTGTATGTAATAAAGAAGCCATCTTGATCTAAAAGGCTGAGCATGAATCTGAGGTGCTTGCAATTGAAAACATTGGCCTGTGCTTGATTGTGTAAAGTGGAGGAACCACCTCCAGTGAATTAGTTGATGTTTGTACACGTGAAACGTACAGCTGCTAATTATGGAATATCCCCTTGCTGAAGAAGTCCCTTCTGAATAAAAAGGGAGGCATTTAATTTTTCCTGCATAGCAAGTGGATTGACTTTGCAGCTCACAACACTGAGTATTGAGTATTGTGTCTCAAAAGAAGGGAGAGAAAGTGGGCAGCTGTGGAGAGGCGAGGTGATCGAATGGTGATGGGGGAGTAAAATTTTATCTAAATATTGCTGTACTCACTCTTCACCTTCTGTCAGGAGCCATCCAGGTGCTGCTCACAATGCAGACATGCATCATGGGATCTCTCAGTGGCCTCTAAAACTGGCTGCAGGTTTTCAGAAGTCCAGTTGAGCTGTAGACTGTCTCATTCCTTCTCCAATCACTTACTATGTGCCTATTTTCTCTGTGTTTCTCTGAGATTACATCTGATTTGGAGAATGAAAAATGACACAGAGTCATTATAAATAAACCAAGCCCCAGCTTCTGGAGACAGCTGTATCCAGTTTGTGGATTTGGGAGGAAGCATTGAGATTTCATGGCTGATTTCTTCTGTTCTTTGTATGCTTCAAGTCTCTCTCGGTGTTTAGAAGTTGCATCCTACAGTATTAGGTAGGATTTTTCACTGGTGAAACAAGGCATATAGCTGAACTAAGCTTGCAGTAAGAGAAACTGGAGTGGTACATGACTGTTCTCTTTAGTCTTCTGACCGTGGTTCTGGGGCTGCAGTATGCGGATGTTTGTATGTTTATTAATATCCTTGTTCTTTTTGAGCAAACACTCTGGGTTTATTTGATGAAAACAATAGGGGCCTGCTTCTGCATCCTTGGGGTTGGTGTTTGGTTTTTTTTAGAACTGCAAAAACCTCTGAAACAAAGGAAGCAGTCCTGGGGTTACAACCACAGATTGTCGTATCTTCATTGATCTCTGTGGAACAAGGCAAGCTTGCTCATTTCTTTAGTGTGATGCTGTGAAGAGATAAAACTGCCTTGTGATCTGAGGTCTTTGGCAGTCACTGTTTTATCTTTGCAATGAGCAGCAGAGCTTTTTGAGAAGAAAAGCAACACCTTCCAACTCATTGAGAAAAATGACAGGTTGTAGAATATCAAAGACTGGCAAACAAGTCTGAGCCCAAGCACCTCCCTGTGACAGAGCAAGGTTGGGAGTGGGGTGGCTGGAAGGCAGTGACATACTTAGCTGAGCTAGCATAACTCCTAGGAACTACACTTTGAAAAGTGGGTATTTCAAACTTATTTCAGAAGAAAGTCTTTGTTTGGAAGTAAATGTAGATCAGCCAAACCCCAGATTAGCTTTGATGTTCCATTCTGGTTTTGTCCTGAACCTTTGGCTACTCCAAAGCTTAGGAATGACATTGAAATATAGATGTTGAAACAAAATCTCATTTATCTTCATATTTCTTTGAAAGTCACAGAATTGTGACCCCTAATCCATCTCACTGTGCTCAAACAGGGTCAGCTGGAGCAAGATGCATAGGACATTGTGCTACTGAGTTTTTTATATCTCCCCAGATGGAGACTTCACAGACTCTCTGGGCAACCTGTTCTAGTGCTTGATCACCGTCAGTAAATAAAAAAGGTTATTCTTGATTTCAGATTAATTTTTGTGTGTCTTTTTTAAAATCTGTGCCCACTGCCTCTTGTCCTCTCAGTGAGGACAGCTGAGACGAGTCTGGTACATTCCCTTCTGTAAGTATTTATACAAAAGGGTAAGATCCCCCTTGAGCCCTCTCTTCTCCATGCTGGACAGTCCCAGCTTTCTCAGCCTCTCCTAATATGAAAGATGCTCCAGTCCATTAATCATTTTTGTGTCCTTTGCTGGACATATCACTCCAGTATGTCCATGTCTTGGACTGGGGAAACAAGGGCTTTACCCAGTGATCTCGGTAAGTCATCAATGCTGTGCAGAGGTGAGGGAACCCCTTCTTGACCTTCTGGCAGTGCTAACACAGCCCTGAAGTTGGTGACTTTCCTTGCCATGAGATCTCCTTGCTGTCTTATGCCAGGGAAATGGTGAAGCACAGCTCTTTTGTGCAAGTGACATTTAAATTGCTCGACACTGAGGTCTTCTAATTTTAATTTTGTGTCTGTAAATTAAAGAACAAAATACTTTTACTTAAATGGGACTCTTTTTTGGGGGAGTTTTTCATAACGAAACACTGAACTTGCTAAATTTTCCATTACCTGTAGATTTTTATCCTTAAAATATCTGATGACCTGAAAAAATATTTAAAAGCTACAATGAAACATAGTTTATTTTTCAGCGCCTCTATAATGTGTAAGCTGTGATGTTTCCAACTCCGTGTTGTTTTAGTTCTGATTTTTTTTGAAGACTGAATAACAAGTCCTAAGAGGATATTGCATTCCATTTTTTTTTATTAGTGTTTGTCTTTTTCCAATGGAAACAAATTCATTTGCCCATGAAAAGAAAGTAACACTGGTTTTAAAAGTTTTTGCTAAAAGTCAGTGTGACTGACACAGAAAACACTTCTTCACTTTCTCATCAGGCTTGTAATTGAATATTGAAGGCAATGCTCTATGAAGCTTCAAACTCTAAATGATATTCTTCCCTTCCTCCTCCCTGTTAATTTTGGTAGGAAAGTGAAAATCAATGCTTTGAAAAAAGGGAAAATAAGCTGGGTGCTTTTTATTTGAACACCAATAGTTTGACTTCTTGCTCATTTTTTGGCTTACAGGCATCAAGTGAGGTAATACAATCTGCGGAAAAGACCCATTTCTTCAATGTGCCTGCCTTCCTGACGGTTTCTGGCCAGCTCCATCTGGAAGTGATGGCAGGGTGAGCAAAATGACAAGTTTTTGTCTTGATCTGTGGGATTTTCCCAATTGGTGGTTTTGCCCTATTGGTATCCATTAGATATCTCTCATGTATGTGCCAGAAATTAATTGAGTGGCAGTGGCTGAATGATGGTGTGAGAGGCCAGCCCAGGCATGGGAAAATTAAATGGCTTTTTAATTCTGAGCTATAAACCATTTTTAAATACTAGGAGTCTCTTTCTGCTTGCTATGCTTTGGGAACATTGGATGGAGATGTAATCTTCATGGGAATGACTGCAGGATTATTGCTAGTCACTGCTAGACACCTTAAGGGTCTTTTTGTTATTGCTTATGTCTGGCATGTCTCAGCAAGAAAATCTTTTTCATTTTAGCTATCACATCCTTTTCTCTTTTCTCCTTTTTTTCCCCCCCAAGCTTCCTATTTATGTCTTCTTCAGTCTTTCTGTTGTGTTTCTTCCTTCTATTGTCATTTCTTTTGTTTCATGGTTTTCACACTTGATGCTTTATCATAAAATAAAATGAGAACAGTTTGGCTTGAAAGGGACCTTTAAAGATCGTCTGTTCCAAGCCCCCTGCAATGAGCAGGGTCATCTTCAACTTGATCAGGTTGCTCAAAGCTCCATCCAACCTGCCCTTGAATGTTTCCAGACATGGCATCTACCTCCTCTCTGGGTAACCAGTTCCAGTGCTTCACCACCTTCATCGTAAAAAAACCCATTCCTTAAATCTAATTTTTTTTCATTCTAGCTACTAAAGTGATCACAGTAAAATAACTAATAGTGACTTTGATTAATAAATTACCCTTAAGCTTTTAATGTTTCACTAAGATTGTTAAGGGTGAAAGTGTCAGTCTGTCAGAGAGACAGTTCCCTTTGATTAAGAGGGTTGGTCTTCCTCTACGCTGTATTTTCCCAATAAATTAACTAAATGAGTACACTGAACAGCAGGAGTGAAATCAGCACAGTCCCTTATATGAAGACACATTTTTCTGAGCACTTGCAGTGCGGGTTCTCCTCAGACATGGTACTTCAGCCAAATCACTGCTTACCAGTTGAGTGGCTGATAAAGCCTATCAGAGATCAGATCTCAGTTAGGTAGCACTGCAGTTGTTTGCCACGTGCCAAGGGGGTTCCTCATGCATTTATAGTTACTTCAAAATCACTTTTAACATGATTTGTTACTGTCCAGTGGAAATCTGAAGGTGGGAGGGATAAAATCCTAGCTTTAGAAAATGTGACCTTGAAAGATCTGCCTTTTCACATGGCTGTTCTGTATTTCTAATAGTCTTAGTATTTGCTGTTCTTGCCTCATATTCAGTGTTGAGAACCAATGGGGTTTATTATCTAATCACTGTTGCACAGTTTAATTGGCTGCTGGTAAATAGCTGAAGTGAAATTGCTCAAAGAGCAAGTTTTGCTTATAAATCAAAACATATGAACTTCTTCCGAAAGCTCTTTTCTACTCGGCTTGTTCTCTCCGAGAGACGCTGTCTCTTCTCAGACCACCTCAGTGTCTGTGATATGCTGAATACTCAAGCTAAAGGTTCTCAAAGGACAGGATATTTCCTGTGCTCTGTCTGCTGTGACAAAAGCACAGGTCACTTGACAGCCAACGACTTATGTGTCATCTCAGACATTAGCTGGGGAAAGTTAATAATGAAGAGGTTTATTTAACTGTAAGGGGGGTGGAGTTTTTGTGTCCCTAGAAGAAGATGGGATGACGTGCATTTGTATGTGTTAGACTTAATTGACTGTCCCGCACTGTGACCTATATTGAAAGATGTAATTCTGCAAATCAAATAAGTCCAAAGAAAGAATATAGATTCTAATGATTAACTTGAAATACAGTCTCGCTCTCTGTTCCCTTTAGATAGTACACAGCCTGTTCTGGGATGGAGCAGAAAGCTGAACTGGGCAGATGAAAGACCTGTGTGGTAAATATTTTTTCCACTGCTATCACTCAGATGCACCTTGTTCTCTAAGGATGGATAAATAAAAAATCAATGCTCTTCAGCATGCAGTACTTCATGTTCCTATTTTACAGTAATGTGTTGTTCTTATGGGCATTTTAAATGGATCCAGGGCCATCTAAATTTAGATAAGCTATCTTTATTCAAATGGGACATAACTGTTCTGGGAACCTGCTCCTTTTATTTTAGTTTTTATTTAGGTACACTGAGTGTTTGAAGCCTGCAGCTCAAGTGATATTAAATCCCTTCAGTCTTTGAAAATAGATGAAGCTCTTCTAGATGCAAAAGCACCATAGTGAATACAGCATTAACTCTCTAGATGCTGTGAGACCATCTAGAGCACAGAATTCTAGAATGGTTTGGGTTGGAAGGGACCTTAAAGATCATCCAGTTCCAATGCCTCTGCCATGGGCAGGGACATTTTCACTAGCTCAGGTTTCTCAAAGCCCCATCCAATCTGGCCTTGAACACTTCCAGGGATGGGGAATCCACAGCTTTTCTGGGCAACCTGTTGCAGTGCCTCACCACCCTCACAGTAAAGAATTTCATCCCAATATCTAATTTAAACCTACCATCTTTCAGTATAAAGCCATTCCTCCTTGTTCCATCACTTCATGCTCTTGTCAAAAGTCCCTCTCCAGCTATCTTTTAGCCCCTTTAGGTACTGGAAGGGGCTCTGAGTTCTCCCCAGAGCCTTTTCTTCTTCAGGCTGAACAAGCCCAACTCTCTCAGCCTGTGTCCATTGCAGAGCTGCTCCAGCCCTCTGAGCATCTTTGTGGCTTACTTTGGACTCACTGCAACAGATCTATGTCCTCTTATGTTGGGGGGCCCCAGAAGTGGATGCAGGTGAGGTCTCACGAGGGCAGAGTAGAGGGGCAAGATGCTGTGAAACCCTCAAGATGCTGTGAAGGCTTTACCTCTGGTTGGCAAGTTGGGTTTTGCTCTGTGAATGGGACTCCTATGTAAAGAATGTAAATGCGTGATAGTAACCAGAGCTGCTTGGCAAATGAAGGTGTGATGATGCTTTCAGAGTACTAAAAAGTGAGTGTTCTCCCCCAAAACAGAAATATTCTGATCTTCCCAATAAACAAAGCAGGCAAAACAGTAAAGATTTATCTGTTTTGGATTTGATTCCTTGAAATTCACCCTTTGCTTTAGCCAGGTTAAATTCGTCATGCCCAGAAAAGGATCTATTCTTCAAAAATTCCTTTTGTCTTAAATAAAATGTTGACTAGTTGCAGTCTTAAGGCTCTCAAGATCACCTGGTCCCTGAGAATTTGTGGGAGGAGACCAAGATGGAAATGCTGGGGAGAACTTTCCCCATCCAGTCTTGGCCCAAATCCTTTTGTGACTTTTTGAAGGACATTGGGAGCACAGAGACAGATCCTGCAGAAGTCCGTTAGAAACCAGAGGTGGAGCAGGGTAGGTATGAGAGGCAACTAGGAATTTGTCCATGGGGGGTGTATGTAGTAGGGAACAGAAGGTCAAGTAGGCAGTCATGTCTCTTCGGGGTTAGCTTTTAGCTTTACAGAGCTCATGAGCAACCTCCAAGCTGCGGTTGGAAAAGACTGGGAAGGGGAGGTATGGAAAAGACTGACCAAAGGTGTCTGGAATCACATTTTCCATGTCCTTGCAGACTACAGGGTGAGTGCCCCTGCCTGCATGTTGTCCAGGGCTCAGGGCTCTATTTCATGGTGGGGCTGTTTGGGGTGTTATTCCTGATCACAGGAGAGAACACCAAGCCATTTATAGTTTGTGAGTTGTTTTTTTTTGAGGAAAGTGGAGAGAGATGTTCCTGCATTTATTGACTGTCTGCTGTGCTTGTTATTGAAGGCAAGGTCAGAGAAGTTCATCTTGTCTCTCAGTATGACACAAACGGCCTAGTTGGCACAACTTCTCATTTCATTGTGCTTCATCTTTGCAGTGATGGCATCTAGGTTGTCTGCTCAGGGTGTCTGAATCATTGTCAGCTGCTGTAAATCTATGGGCTTTTTAAGGTCTCCAGAAAAGTCTTTATTCAGTGATACAGCTCTCCGCTTTAGTCTCCTCAGTTCGCGAATGAGTCAGTAACCAATGTGTGTGGTAAAGTCTGTAGGACTCTGTGTGTCCTGATATCTGGTTTTAAATGTCATTGGTTTGCTGTGAAGTCTGTGTGGTATTTCTTTCCCCCCCCAATCCTCCAGTGAGGATAAAGGCCCCTTGGGGGACCTGAACTGGGCTGGAGGGTCTGTGACAGCTGAAGATGACTCAGAGGCATACTGGAGACAGCCAAAGCCAATTGTTGTCAAGAAGTACAGCTCACTGGCTGTAGTTATCTTTTTGTTCTTGTTTTGTTTCTCCTTTCACTCCAAGCTGTACCTGCTCCTCTCCTTTCAGCCCCTCTTGCTAATGCTGTTTACATCAGTGTTTTTGCCTTGTGCAACTTTTCATCCCAGGCACTGTCTGTTCTGCCTTTTACATCATAAGCTTAAATAAAATTTCTTTTCCTAGAAGCTCTGGAAGCTATCCTCTCCTTAAATTGCAGAATAAGTTATCTCCACGTTCCTTGCCCTCCCTAGCTCTGTTTCTTTTCCCTTTTAAGGCCTTCACTAGGTTTCTGCTTTCTTGTTCATCTCACATTCTCTTGAAGTTCCCTGCAAATGGGAGGGGCAACCTAATAGCAGCCTGTTAGGACCTGCAAGGAGGTTATCAAGAAGACAAGCCCACTCTTTGCAATGATGAACGACAGGAGGATGAGAGACAATGGGGATAAACTGAAATGAGAAGTTCTGAGTGGATATAGGTGGGAAAAAAATCATGAAGAAATCCGTCAAGCACTGAAAAAGATTGCTGAGAGAAACTCTGTACTGTTCATCAGAGACACAGCTAGATGGAGCTTTGAGCAGCTTGGTCTGGCCTTCTTGCTGACCCTGCTTTGAACAGCAGACTGGACCAATGACCTCCTGAGTTATTTTCTCCTTCTAAATTTTTTCTTGGCTTCATTCTCATTTTCATCTCCACCTATCTCGTGCATAAGACCATCTTGATGATTT